ATCTTAATTGGTAAAAAGATCATGGGTTAGAATCCCCTTGCCATCAGGCGGACCGTGAGAGGTTTGCATTGTAACGCAAATGTGGGTTAGTTCCATCAAAAGGTCCTCCATGAAGGCAAATTTCTCTTAATATTTGATCCAAGAGTTCCCTTGTCTTCTGGATTGGGCTTAAAATTACAAGACTACGGAGTTGCACAATAGAAGTCGTAAACCCGAAAAATTGGGTTGTTTTTTTAAAGTTTTTTTTAAATAAAATACAAAATAAAAATTGACATCGTAAGAATCAAAATTTTACCACAGATGTATCTTTAAATGCCTTATAAAGCAGTATAAATATTTATTTTCTTTTCTTGAGAAGGTTTTACAAATACGCTTCTTAGACTAAACTAAATTACGAAAAATTATTTGTAATATATTGAGTATTATAAATACGATTCTGTTCATCTTCGGCAAATTGACATCTTAAGAATTAAACTTTTACTAGGGATACATCTTTAAAGACTTCATAATGCAGTATTAAGAAGCTGGATTAAAGATCTCTTTTTTGAGAGAGTTCAAAGCATATCCACTACAAGATGACCTTTCTCTTAAAGTTCTGCGAAGCTGTTTGGGAATTCCTGCTTATCTTTATTATCATTTGCATATTTATTGCCCATTTTTGAGGAGGTATTAGAAATCGATTGAGGCTCGTAATCATTAAAGCATGTCAAAAGGAGATATAGCACTGAGCAAAATTTGTCTGATTATTCATTCATTAGAAATTATTATTATGGTTTTATAAAAGGATTTATGCATTTATGTTTAAAAGTTGCACTATTAGTGTATGCACCATTTGTACACTTACACATTAACTTAATTTTCACACTTACTTTAATTGGTAATATTAGAAATTGTAAAAATGCTTATAAAAAGTTACCGGAGTGCGATAAAGAAGGCTAAAATTAAAAATATGGAGAAAGAAAAATACATAATTTCAAAAAGAAAATTTCCAAATTTTTAAAAATTTTCAATGACAGCTTTGATTTTTTTGTAAAAATATAAAATTGGATTTCAATCATGGTATAATTTGTATTTGAAAATATTATTACACAAATTCGAAGTTGTAATAATAATAATAGGTTTTAGGATAAGTAATAAGTTTTATACTAAGCTGTATCACTCTCTTTGTATTAAGCAATTTTTTTTTGTCTTATAAATATATGGTTATATATAAGAAAAGAATTTTTTAAAGAATAGGCACTCAACCTTTTTTCGATCACCACCCACTTTGCAAGGCAAACACTTTTCAACGCCCTCTTGAGAAAAATTTTGTTTCAATTCTTTATAAAAATTGTTTAATGTTTTCAATATTATTCGCCTTTATCAAGTCGTGAATTTATTGAAAATTCTTACTATCTAACCATTATATTTAAAATATAAACTTTTTACTCTGAAAATTGAACGCGTTAAAGTTCGCATAAAATTCGATTCTTAAAAAAAGAAGGTTAAAAAAAGCAACTAGATTTTATTGTTTAAAAAATTTCGTTTTAAAGGAAAAATGGCAGTTCAGTCATTACGCAGCTTTTCTTTGGATTTATTTTTAAATAATTCATATTCGTATTATTTAAAAAATATGGTAATCAAAGTAATATAATAATCAAAGTTATTTTTTTCTGAATTTTTGTTTGAAAGATTTTCTACATCATCTGCTAAGTTGGGACAGCTTGCAGTATTTTTGTAGCTTTATTGCTAGAAAACGTTTTTTTCAAAATAGATTTTGAAAACATTTCTGTGTAATCAAAAAAACTTCTTTCAATTATGAAGTTTATTGTTTTGTCAGACTTTATTTTATATATTCGCTTTTAGTTAAAAATTTTAAAAGAAACCATCTTTTTTATTTTTTTTTTGGTCACTGTTTGCTGAAAATATTTGTTTTTTTTTTTAAAAAAATCATTTTTATGTATAAACTGTCATAATTATAATTAATTGAATTACATTTTAAAAAATGTTACCCCTTAAATATTGTACTTGATGTTTGAACCTGGCACAATTATAATGCTTCAAAATTTGGATGTAAAATGCAGTAAATCAGCCCCTAAATATGAATAGTATAGGTATGACATAGTTGACATTTGACCAAAATTCACTTAGTATATTTACTTAAGAATATTATAGTTCGCATTTGAGATAAATTTTCAAAAGCGCGCTCACGGTAAGTGTTATTGCTAAAGCTAGTTCGAGAAAACATGGAGAAACGTGTATAAGTTTGAATATATTCTTAAACACTCCAATGAAAAATAAAAACATCTTAGCATTTTGCTGATGACTATACTTGAAACAATAAAATTAGACTGTAAAGTGAAGTATCAGGAAGAAATTCTCTGAATAAATTTCATGTAAAGTTGTCAATTTTATCAGTAGACAAGCAGCTTTTGGCTAGTTTCGAAATATTTATCCTTCAATCAGCATAATGTTTTAATTTACTTTGTTAACCTTCGATTAATTCAGCAAAACGTTTTATCGATTTAAATTTTTTCCCAAACAAATCGATAGCACATTTCAACAAATGTCACTGATGTTGTTTTTAATGGAAAGTAACTCTATTTTTGAACACCAAAGTATGAAAATTTTAATTAGCAGACTTGATATTTTCTTTGAATTTAACAATGTTTTCCCATTACAAAGTTAAAAGATAATTCCTTGAATCATAATTCAAGAAAAGTATTAATGAAGCTGTTTTCTTAATAATTCAGGTGAAAAGATAAAATGTCCCAAAAATAATAGGGAAGTACGATTAAACAACTTTTTTTATGTTCTTCAATACAGCCACAAAAAAAATTATACAATTCTATTGAATACCTCAATGACAATTAGTGTAACCTACTACTAACATTCGAATGCAGTCAATAAAATACTGCTTTGACATGAAGATAGTAGTAAAGAAATACTACATAACTCAATGAAAAATATTTATTTCATATTTTTTGGAAGATTTTTACTGATTCCCAATCGAAAAATGAAATTTAACTTTAAATTCATCGGAATACTATAAAATTCCTCAAATAAAAAAATAAAATTTACACAATTCCATTAAATACCTCAATGAGCATTAGAGTAACCTACTACTAGCATTCGAATGCAAAGTCAATAAAATACTGCTTTGTCATGAAAATTGTAGTAAAGAAATACTACATAGCTCAATAAAAAATATTCATTTCATACTTTTTGGAAGATTTTTACTGTTACCCAAAAGGAAAAAAGAAATTTAATTTTAATTTCATCGAAATACTATGAAATTCCTCAAATGAATATCTGTTACGCGAATTATTTTGTTGCTAAAAATACCTGAAATAATTAAATCTGAATACAAATGAAATGAAACATATTAAAAACTTCAATCGAAAATAGTATCATCTGGCTGGTTTGATAATGTTTGACAGATAAATGTAACAGCAGAGTTATCACCGGCAGAGCACTGGTTCGAACTTAACTGGTCCTTAACTGAAGTTAATCTACTGTTTAAGAAGTGTTAACTTAAGAAAATTAACTTAAGTTAAGTCCTACTGTTTAAGTAGTGTTTAAATTATTCCCCAAAAAATTTAAGGCAAATTCAAAAGCCTGAATGTCTCAAACCTGACGAAATAAAACTTGAAGAAAAATTCAATAGTATATCAAGAAATACTTAATTAAAAAAATAAGCTGCCTCTCTTTTAGAAAATTTCAATTATGTTTTTTTTAAATATTTTTTTACCGTTTCTCGAAGTAATAAAATTTGAGTATAAACTTATTGAAATTCTATAAAATACGCTAGAAAAAATTTCGGATCAAGTTACGATAGTAAGTTCCAGCACTGAGGTTGACCGTACTTTTTACTTATAATCCGTATTTACAGAAACATGCCACGGAACAAAACATTTGATATACCTTTATTTTTACAGTAAGAAGTAGCGAAAAATTATTTAGTTACTTCACTAAATATTACTGTAAAAATTACGGTATAATATTTTAGGGTAAAAAGGGATTTTATGGTAAAATGAATATCGCGAATGAAGCGCCCGGTACCTTATACCATAATTTGATTTGGAAATTTTAACAATGCACTTCAATCGAAAATAATAATTCCATGGAGATATAAGAAGTGTTTTACTGTTAAATATATGCAAAATAAAGTAATTTATTAGTAATTGCAATTAAATTTTATGCACTTCAATCGAAAATAATAATACCATGGAGATATAAGAAGTGTTTTACTGTTAAATATATGCAAAATAAAGTAATTTATTAGTAATTGCAATTAAATTTTATTAAATATATTCGAAAATAGCAATATCATGCTGTTATAGAAATTTTTTATTATTAATTATTGTTAATTTTCAACTGTCCAAAGTTGCCAATATATCAAAATTCAAAACGAATCAGAACACATTAAAAATAATTTGTAGTAAATGTCTTGCAGAATTATCACCTTTAATAGCACTTCCTTTGTAAACAACCGGATAGATTTTTACTGTTTCTCGAAATAATAAAATTAGAGTTCATATTCATTGAAATCCACTGTAAAAAATTTCTGATCAAGTTAAGGTAAAAAGTAGCAGCACTTTGGGGGCCGGTATTTTTTAACGTAAAATTCATTTTTACCAGATTAAGTTACAGAGCAAAAGATCTGTTATGCTGCAAATTTTACACTAATAATTCCCCTAAAGTCACTGGCTCATTCTAATTAAATGACCTGGTACTTTATACCGTGATTTGATCCGGAATTTTTTACAATGTTCTTTAATTGAAAATAATAATACCATTTTTAATATAAGAAGCGTTTTACTATTAAATATACACAAAATAAAATTAATTCAATAGCGTATGTCAGTAAATATCTTAATCGAAAATAGCAATATCATGCTGTTATATAAGTTTTTTATTGTTATGTAAACCCAAAATATAATATCAATATAATATCAAAATTCAAAGCAAAACCAAACACCTTAAAAAATTTTGTACTAAATGTCATGCAGAATTATCACCTTTGTTAGCACTTCCTTAGCAGACAACCGGCTCCCGGCTGGTGCACCTTGAAATTGCGTATATCCCAGTAAAGGGCACATGGAAAGATATGGAAAATAAGATATGTCAAGCCTAGAAGCGAGACGCGAAAACGTGCATAGCCAACTGTGGCGGCGCTCAGAAACTGAGATTCTGCGAGGCGGTGGATTTGGGGGCTGAAAACTAGGGGGAGGGAAATTACGAGGGCTTTCCTTTTGCGCATGCGCGTGTGGGTGGTGATCCCTCTCCAAAAGTGATCGCCATTCTACAGAAAATAAGGAAGAGGCGTAATATTATATGAGAGAATACTTTCCTTGAAATTGCTTGTAAAGGTCGAAGAAAAAGAGATATTCAAACCCTCGCTAGTTTCAGAATCGAAATAAGATTGGTTTTTTATTTCCACAAAGAACGTATCAGAACTGAATCCGATACTATTATGCAGATATCTGTTTAGGTGGTTTTCAAAAATTGTGATCAGCTCAATAAATTTTATCAGAGCTTAAATAATGGGAATATTAAATAATGGGAACTCATAAAAATTTAAAAACGGAAAAAAAAAAAAAGTTTGGTAAATAAATACACTGCAAAAAATTCCGGATCAAATTAAAGTAAAAAGTTCCAGCTCTCAGGGTGCTAGCACTTTTTACAGTAAAATTTATTTTTACCGGAATATGTTATAGAACAAAAAAAAAATCTGATATGCCGTACTTTTTACAGTAAAATATCTTAATCACTCTAATTAAATAAAATTCGTACCATTCTACTGTAAAATTCATTATTTTACAACAACAATGAGTTTTACAGTAAAATGGATTCTAGGGATGATGCCTCCGTAGTGATCCATGGTTTTTCCATAATAAGAATATTTAAACTGTCATAGTTTCGAGGTTATGCATAGGCAAAAATTAGTGAGTTTTTGTTTTATACAATTGATTCCTATTACATTGAGAGATTACGTTTTTCATGCATGAAGTTTAGTACTGTTTAACAACATGCTTAAAGCCGTGATGGCTCATGGAATGGAGCACTCGCCTAGCAATTAGGTGACCTAGGTTTGAATTCCAGCGATGGCTAGTTGATACCAATTCTTACCCAACTCGCATCGACCACAATGCTGTCGTAAAACATTCTAAGTGATAGACGGATCATGGGTTAGAGTCCCATTGCAGTCAGGTTAACCATGGGTGGGATTCGCGGTTTTCCTCACCATGTAACGTACATGCGGGTTAGTTCCATCAAAAAGACATCCACGAAAGCAAATTTCCCCCAATACTTAATCCAAGAGACTTCTGGATTGGGTTCAAAATTACAAGGCTTTATTACAAGCCGATTGGTAGTTGTAAACTCAGAATTGGGTTCGCTGTTCAACGACGATGATAAAATAACAGTGTACTTACATTGAAACTGCTTCGTAATGTCAAATGAAAAGTGACATTCGACATTGCTAGCTTTGCTTTAGGATAGGGTTCGTATTTCCTTTCGTTTAAATTAAAATTGAACCTTAAACTGTTTTGCAAATTTATTTAATTTTTTATAGTGGAAAAAAAAACTAATTTGATTTCGAAATTTCAAAACAACTAAGGAAATATTTGAAATTAAAAATGTCAAAATCCGTTTGATTTGAAACTTAAATAGTATATCTATAATTGCCTTCGAACTATTATCTATTTTCTTCGGCAGTAAAACCGGTTTTGATGTTTTCAGTTTCGATTTCTAGAGCCTTTTTATTCACTTCTAGCGAAAATGTGAATGTGAATAATTTTTTGAGTTCAATTTTAACAAAGACATCGAAATTAAATTGTAAATTTGTCATAAAAGAAAACCTAGTGTATTTGATTATCGTTAAGAAATCTTAGTCGAGTCTTATTACTTAATAAAATTAGTTCATTGAAAAATTATAAAATGCGTAATTATTGAATCTAGTTTTTTATTTTTTTTTAAAGTTATTGTTTCGTGTTAATAAACATAATTTGTCTTTTCGAATTGTTAAATAAGAGTAGATGTTATAGCAAAAAATTTTTTCTTGTACAAATGCATTAAAAGTCTCGAGAAAATGCTTTTTTTTTTTTTTTTTTTTTTTTTTAAATTTTTTTTTTCCCTCTACTAAATTTGCATAATACGTAAATAGTATGATTTTTTCAAATTCAATGATTTTTCCAATACACGATTCCTTCCAATCCAAAAAAAATATTCATCTGTATATATATTTCGCATGAATACGTGTGCGTTAGATGATGCATACAAATAAACATATACTACTAATACTTGCGGCGTGCGAATGATATTGCTCTGAGAAAAAAATATGGTTAAAACTACCAGAATTTGGTAAAATTTATCGCGCATTTGGCTCAATGAGTACAGAAAAAAGCTCGGCAATTTTTACTGAATCGCATTGGTAGTTACTTTGCTAGTATGTGATAAAATTTGGAAAATGTGTTAAAATTTGGTAATTTTTTCATGATACCTTAGAGCATGGCATAAAGACCTTTATTAATTTAATTTTTCTTTTCTGATTTGTATTTGTAATGAATGTTTGGTTATAAGAACTACAATTTTGAAAACCAGAACAGCCGGTGAACCATCACCATATGAACGGAAAATTACCAAATGAGTGGTTTATTAATGCCATATTTTGGTTTTATTATCACAATTATAGTACTCTTCACCAGAAATGTCATTACCATTGAGTTCGGTTATTTGTCTAGATTTTTTTTCCGTGTGTCAGCCTATCAAGCATTAATGTTTTTACTGTTTAACTATTAAGAAACTTTGCACTATATAATAAATAACTTAACAAGATCTAGCAGTATAGTTTAAAGCTTTCGATTTTTTTTTATCTGAAGCATTGTGTATAGTATAAACTAATAGTCAAAAGCGCGTAAAATTCATTGGGACTGTTTTTGTGCATATTATAATTTTTTATTTACTTTATATACCAAAAAAAACTTGCAAGAACTAATTGGTTAAAAAAAAACTTTCGTTGAAAAAAGCTCAAGTCAACCATAAATTTTAAATCGTTTTAATAAAAATTACCTTTTTAAATAACACATGTAATTTCATTCGCAATATTAATTGATATTATTATACACCGAGGGCTTTAAACAATTGAAAGTAACTGAAGCGGTAAGATGTAACATGATTTAAAACTTCATTTGCTTCAAAAATAGTCAATCTGGAAATAACAGTCGACATGTTTGAAGCACTCAAAAACAGGTAGCCATTTTCAAGACTTGAGAGACGTGAATGAGAGGAAACAAAAGTGATTTGAATTATAAGTTATCTTTAAATAATGTAAACTTTTGCGCTCTTATCAAATTGAACAACACAAAAACAGAACAAAACAAAACAAAGTGGTTATAAATATTAAACATTTTGAATATTAAATCTAGAAAAACCACAGTATGCGAGAAAAAAAAAAGAGCAAGAATTAGCATTTTTTCTCGCTCGGCTACTGTGGATTTTCTACTGTAGTTTTCCCCCCTTTGTTTCTCCCTTTTTCGTTGACAACTTTACGTTTTATGTTTCAAATCACTCTTGTTTCGTCTCGTACAAGTCTGGCAAGTCTGGAAAGTGGTAGCCTGTTTTTGAGCGCTTGAAACATGACGACTGTTTTTTCACATTTGTATATATTTGAATCAAATAAACTTTTTAATCTAGTAATACCGAATGCTCTTACTTACTTTTTTTAATTTTACGAATAACTACCGAATATTATTAGAAAAAAGGCATGCGCAGTTAATGAAATTTTTTTTTACTAAATGCAAGACAGAAAAACTGTCATAATGAGCAATCTAGCATCTTTTTAATAAAATATAGTGTTAGTGTTAACACTATGTTATATTAACATAGTGTTTAAAAATCGTGCCATTTTTATAGAATTTAGATATTTAAACAATTTATGAGGGAAAATTACCTTATCAACCATTTTACTTTAGGGTTCGTAAGTCGCAATTAAAAGCGCAATGAAAATAATTCTTTCACGAACTGCATTCACCACATAAACATAAACATTAATTCTATTCAAACCGTTCCCACGTTATCTCAGTTAAATTAAATTATGTAAGGCATAAGCGCAGAATAATTCTGCCTTAGTTAGTTGTAAATGTTTTTAATAGTTTTTACAAAGACGTGATTGTATCGCAAGGTTACGTAATTAAATTTTTCTTCTGCTTTAGGTAAATTTTGAGAAAACATAAAAACATTTCAGAATTTAGATAATAAAAAAAACATAACCGCCTTATTGCTTTTCATATCATTCTAATATATTGAAATATAAGAGTAAAAAAAATTCTCTCTCTCTCTCTCTCTCTTTATATATATATATATATATATATATATATATTTAATTGTTTTGCCATTTCAGAACAACACTANTTATAATTTTATATATCTTAATCTGATACATCTAATTTGATATATTAATGAGTTAGATCTTTCAAAATGCATAATTTGCTTATAAATATAATAACAGAAAATGGTGGAATGATAATAATTCAAACTGAATGAATGAAAAAAATATATAAATACACATTTTCTGATGGAAAAAGAATATATATATATATATATATATATATACATATTAATAATTAATGAAAAGAGTTGGAGAATCGGAATAAATCGGAAGTCGTCATGGAGAAATCTTCAGAGGAAGGCATTGGCCAACTATGATGATGATGATATATATATTATAATAAGTCAAATATTTAACCCTTAAAAACCAATTTACTTATTATATTTAAAATGTTCAGTTTGTACAAAGAGTTATTTTCATTTTTATTTAACTCCAATTAAACAAAACATTCGCATAAAATACAAATTTATGCGCTATAGCTTTCATCTTAGAAAAAATAAATATTAAAAATTTTATTGAAAAAAGAACAACATTGAAGGAAAAAATTCCAAATCGGTGATTTTACGGTAATTATTACTGTAAAAATTCCGTTAAATCAGAATTTTTGTTCCGCAACACGTCTTGGTAAAAATTTATTTCGCCGGAAATCAATAAAATATAAATCAATCTTCATAGAAATATAAATCAATCTTCATAGAAATATAAATCATTCTTCATAGAAATATAAATCAATCTTCATAGGATCATAAAAGCAGCCTTAAGGCTGCTTCTATGATCCCACACTGTAAAAGTTACGGATC